GCCTCGGCTCTGCCGCCAGGCCCGCGGGGCAAACCGGGGAGCGGGGTCAGGCTCTGCGGGCCCAGCAGCCCCAGCGAGCGCTGCCCTGCAAGTGGCATTCCCACAGGGGTGGGGGCAGAGGAAGGATACACCAGGTAAGTGCAGGTGATCATCGCCCGCTGGCGAACCGGCGTCCGCATCGCCTCCAGTGGTTCTGCTTTTATGAACTCCTGCAAGGCAGAAGAAGGTGACGGTTACGGTCGCAACCACCTCCATCCCGCTCTGGGCACGGCCAAGCTGCAGGGCGATCGCGGCCTCAAAGCCCAGCCTTCCCAGGAGAGCAAGCCGGGAGCCGCGCCGCATTAGCCCGACACCCCAAACGCTGCGCAACAGCCCCAAGCCTTGGGCAACGTGGGCACGGAGATAGAACCACGGAATCGCTTGAGTTAGAAAAGCCCTTTGAGATCACCAAGCCCAACCGTTACCCCAGCGCGGCCAAGGCCACCCCCAAACCCCGTCCCCAAGCGCCACGGCTGCCCGGCTGTTAAATCCCCCCAGGGCTGGGGACTCGACCCCCTCCCTGGGCAGCCCCTTCCAGTGCTTGGCAACCCTTTCAGCGGTCCTTAATGGTTTAATTCTAATGAAATTATATGTGTATATCAACCTCAGCAGTTACTGTGTCTTTAAAGAAAATTGAAATTCCTCCTGGTGTCACTGAAGTGGTCAACCTCTGCAACCTTGGCATCGCCGCACTGCAGATCATTAGCCAGTTTTGCAGAAATGGCAGACAAACCATGGTAGACCCCAGTGTTGGTCATGTTTTAGCTGCCAGGAGTTTGAATGACTTCGTAGTTAAAAATGACTGTATTTGGCCAGTTTGGTTGCGCAGTGACCATCCCCAGTCTGTGCAGTGAAACTCCCCGTAAGTCCATGAGGTTGGTGGTCAACATGCTTAAAACCCCACTTTTCCCTTGCCAGGGAAGCTGGCTGGGCCAGAGCCCACCACATATGGGGAGGCTGAAGGAGGTGGTGCCCTCAGCCTGGAGAAGCAGAAGCTGAAGTAGGCTTCCCCAGCAGCCTTCCTCCACCCTGGGAGGAAGGGCCAGGTCCTTCTCCAGGGACCAGGAAAGGACCAATAACACTGCGCAGAAGCTGCTTTTTCCCGAGTTGAGACATGGAGCCCTGGAGTGGGAGCTGGTTTTGAGGATATTCAAGACTCAGCTGGGCAAGGACTGGAGCAATTTGAGCTGGCTTTGCAGCGAGCCCTACTTTGAACATGATGTTGGACTTGGGATGTCTCCAAGTTCCTTCCAACCTAAATCTTCCTGTGATTTTCCCCCAGTGAAGGGCAGTGACACATACACACGTGTGGTAGCTCATTGCATAGTACAGAAGACTTGAAAAAGGGAGATGGCCCTTGACAATGATATATCTTGCTTGGGCTTTGGCAGCCTTGAAAATGGTAGGAGGAGCTGGCGCAAAAACCACAGGCTGCTTTCTCTGCACCAGGGCACGTCGTGTGTAGGACATTCCTGCACGGATGACTTGGTTACTTGTTTCCATTATAAAACAGGGATGGGTGTGTGCTGTCCTCCAGCAGCATGGCAGGAGGTGAGGGATGTGCTCTGGAGGACGAGCCTCCTCTTGTCCTCCTTGATTTTGTGTTGTGATCAAGACATCAGACCCCAGCTGGGAGCCAAGCACCGTTTCTGCCCCCGACTCCACTTTGGACTTGCCAACTGGTGTCGCCAAGTCCCTCTGTGGTGCCTGGGGCCACAGGGATGCAGAGCAGGAGCCCAGCCAACTAGCCGGGAGGTGGAATAAATTGCATCCTTAAACCAAGGCCGAGGGGAGGCGCGCACCTCCTCTGCCCCGAGCTCTCTGAGCCGGGTGTCGGAGCCAGGTCAGGCCGTCCCGGTGGTGGGGCAGCCGGGGCCGCTCCCGGGGGGCAGGGG